AAGCTCCCAAAATGAGTCAAAATAACTCTATATAATAGAGTTATCAACTATATAGAGCTCTATTCATAATCTCCAAATACACCCTTTTTTCAACTTTGAGCTTTCTTTTATTCAACAGTTTATTCTTTTTTTTTTTTACAATTTTACACCCCAAACTTATTTCTTTCTATGATGATAGTGGGGTGCATATTAAGTATATTTTTGAATCTTTTCAGCAATTCCACGTTCTATCTTATTCAACATCTAGCTTAAAACACTTCTTAAAATGATACATACTTAGGAGTGAAGGATGCAAAATCGAAAATTTATTTAAAAGGCTAGGCTAAAATAATTAGGTGTTTAAACAAAGAAAATGAAAAATTAGGCTTAAAAGGGATATACTAGGGATAAAATTTACCAAGGTTAGCTTGAAAGACTCAAATGGTCCAAAGATGGCTTAAATCATCTCCCTAACTAAGTATTGTCTAGAATTTCACCTCTAGAGGGAATCAAGCAAATTCTAGAATTCATGACATAATCCAAAATTCACATTAATATAAACCTTCTCCAGATATACACAATAATTCAAAGTAAAAGACAAAATGCTCAATCTATGAAAATCACATTCCAATAATAATACTTAGCAAAAGAATTTAGCACAAACCAAACAATATCTTGTTGGAGTAGGATCTTAGTGGATTGATGTGATTGTGTAAAGCATGAATTTTGTTTTTAAAAAATTTCTTTTATAAAGGAAGCAAGCAATTCAATTACATAAGCGGAAACACACATGATTCTTATTGCAAGAAACATAATCACATTATAAAAGAAATAAGAATCCATTAAGTAAGAAAATACATACCTTTTATTTTGATATTCTTATTTTTAGATACCCCCACACCAATGAATGATTTCTCGACTAAACAAGTTTACCACTTATTCTTCAAGAATGCTTTCAACTTGAACTTTAAGTGGACAAAGTGTGGAATGCTAGACTATAAGATGGCAACTAATTTTGTCTCTCTTTGCTTCCTAAAAATTAATGGTTATTTTGCTTTCAAAAATTCAGCCAAGAATGGGAGAGAGGAAGAAATAAACGGCAAAGTTTTGGAGGAGGAGAAGAGAAGTGGCGGTTGAAAATTTTTTCAAGAAAAAGTACATTCTGTTCTTTTCTTCCAATCTCTTCTTTTTTTATTAAGACTCTTGCCTCAAAGGTTTAATCAAAA